CGAGTGGTGGGGCAGGTGGAACTCGGTCCCGTGGGGCGGAGAAGGTTTCCTGCCCCATAGGATGGGGGAAGAACTTCTGCCCCATAGGATGGGGAGGAATTCCTGCCCCATAGGGTTAGCAGAGGATCTCCTGCCCCATAGGATGGGGGAAGAACTTCTGCCCCATAGGGTTAGTGGAGGAACTCCTGCCCCGTAGGATGGGGGAAGAACTCCTGCCCCATAGGATGGGGAGGTGATGAGACACCAAGTCAACATCAATCTCTAGCCCCACGGCAGTCCCCAGCCCCACGGCTGTCCCTGATCCACGGCTAGATCCAGCCCCACAGATATGCCCAGAACCAAGGATGTTCCTGCCCCATAGATATCTCTGCCCCACCGCTATCATCTGCCCCATGGTTATCCCTGCCCCACAGCTAGCCCTGCCCCACAACTGTCCCTGCCCCATTGCTAGCCCTGACCCACAGCTTTCTGTGCCCCACAGCTATCCTCGACCCACAGCTAAACGTGACCCACAGTGATCCCCGACCCACATCTATGCCGGCCCCATCACTCTCCCTGACCCACAGACTTCTGTGCCCCACAGCTAGCCCTGCCCCACAGCTATCCCAGCCCCACAACTCTCCCCAACCCACAGCCAGCCCTGACCCACAACTAGCCCTTGCCCCATGGCTGTCCCCAGCCCCACGGCTGTCCCTGCCCCACATCTATCCCTGCCCCACGGCTATCCCAGACCCACAGCTCTCCCTGCCCCACAGCTATCCCCGACCCACAGCTATCCCTGACCCCACAGGTTACCGTGACCCACAGCTGTCCCAGCCCCACAGCTATTCCCAACCCATGGCTATCCCTGCCCCACAGCTAGCCCTGCCCCACAGCTAGCCCTCAACAACAGCTATCCCTGACCCATGGCTATGCCTGCCCCACAGCTAACCCCGACCCACAGCTCTCCCTGCCCCACAGCTCTCCCTGCCCCACAGCTAACCCCGACCCACAGCTAGGTCTGACCCCACAGCTCTCCCTGCCCCACAGCTATCCCAGACCCACAGCTGTCCCTGACCCATTGCTAGCCCTGACCCACAGCTTTCTGTGCCCCACAGCTATCCCAGCCCCACAGCTAGCCCTGCCCCACAGCTAGCCCTCAACAACAGCTAACCGTGACCCACACCTATTCCTGCCCCACAGCTATTCCCAGCCCCATGGCTATCCCCGACCCACAGCTATACTGGCCCCTCAGCTATCTGTTGCCCTATAGCTATCCCTGCCCCACAGCTCTCCCTGCCCCACAGCTAACCCCAACCCACAGCTAGCCCTGCCCCACAGCTAGCCCTCAACAACAGCTAACCGTGACCCACAGCTATCCCTGCCCCACAGCTATTCCTGCCCCACAGCTATTCCTGCCCCATGGCTAGCCCAGCCCCACAGCTATCCTTGACCCACAGCTATCCGTTGCCCTATAGCTATCCCTGCCCCACAGCTATCCCAGCCCCACAGCTATCCGTTGCCCTATAGCTCTCCCTGCCCCACTGCTCTCCCTGCCCCCCACCTCTCCTCAGCCCCACACATCGTCCACCCCATTTCTAAGTCCACGCGGAAGATTCGGGCTCAATTCCGGCGATTTTGGGTCAACACCCCAGACCCTGGCGCCAATGGTTGGATTTTTGGGTCCGTACCGGAGATTTTTGGGTCCGGGACGGATCCTCGAGGATGATGCTGGAATTTTGGGTCCAAATGGGTCATTTTTGGTCCATCCTGCTGCCCTTCCATCTGTGGTGGAATTTTGGGGTGAATTCCAGAGGGTTTGGGTCCATCGCGGTGATCTTGGGTCTGTCACGGTGATTTTGGGTCCACGAGCGACATTTTGGGGTCTATAATGGAAATTTGGGGTCCTTCATGGAGGCCTCAAGCCTTGATGGCATTTTTGGGTCCATAATAGCTATTTTTGGGTCATAACTATTTTTGGGTCCGTAATAGGTATTTTGGGGTCCATACTGGATTTTTTGGGTCCATAAAGAGGATTTTTGGGTCCATAATGGAGATTTTTGGGTCCAAAAATGAAGATTTTGGGGTCCATACTGGATTTTTTGGGTCCATAAAGAGGATTTTTGGGTCCAAAATGAGGATTTGGGGATCCACAATGAAGTTCTGGGTCCGTAATGAAGATTTTTGGGTCCATAATGGAGATTTGGGTGTCCAAAATGAAGATTTTTGGGTCCATA